AAACCCTTGTATTGTGATAATTTTGTCGTGAGATTAGTAATTCTTATAGTTATACTTAGTTTTATTTATTAGTTTTAATATTATTTTATCCTGTTGTCTTTGTAAATTGTAGAAGGTTTACACAGATAACAATAAGCATTCTTGATTTGTAGCAGATTGTCCTAATAATCTGATTCTGTTTTGATAATTTCTATATTTTTCCAAATTAAATAAGAATAACGAGGCCAATACCAATGTAATCTAAATCAGGAATCTGGATATTGCAACATAAACAAATATAATTAACTAATGTATCAATATTTGGTCTATTATTATATGATGATTTGTAATCTGTATAATGACTTTGTCCTAAAGGAAACAATTCTGGAAATAGTAAAGTTTCTATATTTAGATATAAAAATGAAATTAATAAATAATATCATTATTGTCAATTAAAAATACAGCCATTAAATATGAATATCTATAATTTTCATTGTGAATTTCTGGATTAAAACTTGTATTTGGAACTATTATCTCAGTAGGTTGCAAGTTATTTGACATTGATCTGATATTATTGTCTGAAGTTAATAATATTCTTGTATTTGGAAATACTAATGGTGGTCTATTAATATTACCTTTATTATAAAAATAATTATATACTTTGAAGAAATTGTCATTATTACATAACCAGAAAGCTGCTATTTGTAAAGTAGGAATATACCAGGTATGTGCAATATTATTTTCTAATAAGGCACTAATTGTACCTGAATACAATATCAAAGCATGTAGATTTTTTGAATAACCAAATGATTTTTGCATATGATGATAACATGTATATTGATTTGATTCAGGTGTATGACTTAAAGAACAACTCAAATGTATTGGTGATAAATATCTTTGATAATACATTGGAACTGAACTAATTTCATTTGGAATTGGATCAAGTTTTGGTGAAGTTTGACATATAGAATAGTGTTAGGAATTGCGAATACAAAATCATGATCAATCGACTATCAACTATATAGTCGAGTACAAATGTTAATGGATGATTAATAGCGATTAATTGATGATTATAAAAATTGTAGTTAATCATGAATAATCACGATTAATCATTGTATTTTTCTTTTATAATATTATAATTATATTTTCTTTTTTTATAATTATAATATTATAATTATAATTTTGATGATGATAATCTTTTT